AGCCGAAGTCGGCCGCTTAACCGACTGAGCCACCCAGGCGCCCCAGTGGTTCTTAAACTTGAGCCAGCATCCGACTCTCCTGGGCCCCAGCCTAGTGTCTCTAATTCAGTAGGGGTGTGGTGAGGTCTGAGATTTTGCATTGCTAGCTTCACAGATGATGTTGATATTGTTGATTTGAGACTGCGTGTTGAGAACCTTTGGGCCAAAGGACAGAAACCGGTGTAATTTGGGGAAGGTTCAAGCAACTGAATTCCAAGATTAATTCCTTAGTGCCTGTTAAAATAATCTTGATGAAAATACTAATCACTCTTGGGGATGGTGTGCAAGCTTTGTCAAGGGATTCTGCTCTTCCTGACGTTGTGAGTGAACCATAAAAAACAGGGGCAAACCTAGATAAATTGTGTCCCTGGCTCTCCCAGCCCACTGTCCTCGTGTCTTGGTAAAATCTTGGATAAATGTGTTTTTTTTAACATTATTTTATTAAAAAATTTTTTTAATGTTTATTTCTGAGAGAGAGAGAGAGAAACAGAATCCGAAGCAGGCTCTGCACTGTCAGCTCGGAGCTGGACACAGGGCTCAAACTCACAAACCATGAGATCATGACCTGAGCAGAAGTTGGATGCTTAACCAGCTAAGCCACCCGCGTGCCCCTGAATCTTGGATAAACTTTGATGGATACAAATACCTCTAGAATTCAAGTTACCTATGAAATCTCAAGTTGCAAGGTTTGAATTTTTTTTACTTGTCCATCAAACACATTTTACCTGGGGACCATCTGGAGGAGAACAGTCATTTTAACTAAGGGTATTGCAAGTCCCCGGTCACTGAATCATTGTTACTGTCACACCTGCCGTGCAAAATAGCTGTTAGCAAAATGAAAATCTGATGTAACCAGCATTACGAGAGGCTGTGGTTCCAGGCTTCTGACTGGTTCTAGAGCTGCCTTTTTTTATCCTATGAATGATCGTTCAGCAGTAGCAGCCACAGCGGTAAGAATCCCTAATATTTGTGGAGGGTTCCCTGTCTGAGGTGGTAGCTGTGGTTCTGGCTGTGTTGTGTTAGCTCAGATGAATCCCACTGCCGTTCTGTGAATGAGACATCATGATCACCTCTGTTCAGACACAAGAAGATGGAGACTGAGAGAGCCACTTGGTGGTCCTCACACAGCTTGTGAGCATTGGACTTCTCTCTTTGAGTCCAGGCAGCATGAGCAATGTGGGGCAGATTTAGATTGGACTGTATTTGGGGGGAAAGTTTCAGTGGCATTGTGATGAGAGGCCTCCCTGAAATGGAAAGGTGCTAGAAAGTTTTGAAGTATGTTGCAACCAAAAGTATTTAAGGTTAAGTTGTGTAAGTTCTGATGTCAAGGATCGCTTTAGATCTTTCTAACTGTGCAAAATTTCACTTTGTGGTGAATTTAGCTGCCCTGCCCCACAAAAGATGAAAGCCATTTGAAGCCAGCATTGCCATTGTGGTTTTGTTTTGTTTTGTTTTGTTTTGTTGCTATGTGACTATCTGATATTATCTGATATTTGATCAGGAAGATTGAATGATAAAAGCTTATAAACATGCTTAGGATTCTCTCGTGGGTACCAGTAAGTACATCTTATCATTTGAAATGATTTCTGTGGGCATGAAGATACTTTGGACAGAGCCATACGCTCCCTTCAACTATTTTCTCACATGAATACACGTATGGAACAGCGGTGGTGCTGTCCGTGAGCTTATTAACCTCCAGGAAAGGAGACAGGGAAAGAAAGACTGTTTTGAGCTATGTCCACGGTTGTTTGGCATCATGATTCTGAGACCTGGAGAGACATGGTTCATAGGGAATAAGACCGTGAAAAACTTGAGTGTAAACTTGAGAAGGGGATCAACCCAGAAGATTCTGGTGCAGAAGGACATGAGGGGCGAGGAGGTGTGAGACCCCTAGGTCTGGAATTGGCCACCATCGTCATGTGTTACTGGATCCAAAGGAGGTTCTGTGGTGGTGATTCTCAAACATGCAAGGGAAGGGGGTGGGAGGCAAGAAACTCCAGGGCAGATTCCTTATAGAATACCACCCTAGAGTGCAGAGCTGGTCAAGTAGGGCATTTTGCTACCCATTTGTAATCTCTTTTATCCAAAATAACAAATCATGGGGTTAAATGTTGGTTGAAAATGGGATTCCAGCTTTTCCTGGCTACTTTTTCACTGACTTTGTCTCCTGTGTTCACCACCTTTTTCTTTTTAGATTGAATTGAATTCCCATGATGCTTTACAAATGCTCTCCTAATTTAGGTGTAATTAAGAAAGGGAGGAAAATCAAAGCGTGAGCCCAAGAAGAGAGTGAGGGAGCCTATTAATGCCCAGAAAACAAACGTGTGGGTGAAATCTTGATGAAGCTGTAAAGTGCTGCTGTTCTGAAAATGTGGAAGGAGAGGGGTGCCTGGGTGGCTCAATGGGTTAAGCATCAGACACTTGGTTTCAGCTCAGGTCATGATCTCATGGTTTGTGAGTTTGAACCCTGCATCAGGCTCTGTGCTGACAGTGCAGAGCCTGCTTGGGATTCTCTCTCCTTCTCTCTCTGCCTCCCCACTGCCCATTCTGTCTCTCTTTCTCAAAGTAAATAAATAAACTAAAAAACAAAATGAGGAAGGAGAAAGGACTTCCTTCCATGTTTTCTTGATCTAGAGACCTAACTAGAAGTGACTATAAGTTCTCATTAATGTTTTACTTATTTAGCTCCTCAGCAAATGATAATTTAAGATGAGTTGAACATGAAAGTTTGCTGAGGATAGGAATGAATGGCCCTTTGGTTTCATAGTGACCATGAATTTTGCTAATGATAGAGCCAAGGGTAATGCACTCGTTTTCATAGGACTTGAGGAATAGCTTGTCTGATGCTTAAGGGGAAATCAAGGTTGAGTTTTTAGTTAATGTATTATCAAAGAAAAATTCAGATTTGAGAGCATTGAACTTTTTGTGGGGGGAGGAGGCACATCATGCACATTTAAAAAATCATACAGTCTTAACTGCTCGATCCCAGCCCTCACTAGGAAAATTGCCCTGTAATGCACCAGTTGAGATGTTGATGAAAACAGACAGAAAAGAGCAAAAACACAGAAAGTAGGCCTTTATCATTTAGGCCTAAGGCACATGGATATTCATTTTGCTAGCTTATGCCACTACACATGATGGAAGGGGTTTTGGTATTGACCAAAATGCTCAGGATTGTTTTCTTAAAATACATCTTGATGACTGGACTTGGTGGAATTAGCAGCTTCTTTGGTTTCACAGTATTGCATCCCTATAAACTGTTCTTTCACCTCAGAGCTGTGTCCAAATGGAGACTGATATAAAAAGGGGGCCACACGATCACTGACATTGACGGAGTGCTTTCTAACCTTCCATCCTTCCTTTTTTTTTTTTTTAAATGAAGTCCACTTAAAAAATTTTTTTAATGTTTATTTGAGAGAGTGCATGCAAGTGGGGGAGGGGCAGAGAGAGCGAGAGAAGACAGGATCTGAAGCAGGCTTTCTGCTCTCAGCACAGAGATGTGGGGCTCGAACTCCTAACCATGAGATTATGACTTGAGCCGAAGTCGGCTGCTTAACCAACTGAGCCACCCAGGTGCCCTTGACCTTCTGTCCTTCTTCAGTAAACATTTCTGAGGTAGGACTGATGGCTGGAGTTGGTGGTTTGGAATGACCGCTGGTCGAGCCTCTTCCAAGTGCCCTGGCACACAGCTGTCTGGTATTGCTCAGAGATCATTGACACACAGGTGTTAATGCTGCAAGGGGTAATTAGTTGTATGCTGTAGACCATATAACAATTTTGATGTAAAAGATTTTGATTTAAAAAATAACCAAACTCAGGGGCGCCTGGGTGGCTCACTTGGTTAAGCATCTGACTCTGCGTTTCGGCTCAGGTCATGGTCTCACTGTTCGTGAGTTCAAGCCCCCTCCATTGGGTTCTGCATTGTCAGTGCGGAGCCTGCGTGGGATTCTCTCTTTCACCCTCTCTGTCTCTGGCCCTCCCCTGATTGTACTCTCTCTCTCTCTCTCAAAATAAATAAATAAACTTTAAAAAAATAGCCTAATTCAGACATTTTGTAGCAGAAAATGATGCATCATGTTCTTCCATGAAGTTCTTCAGTGGTGAAGCAGTTGGTTAGTCTTAGAATACTTCTGGGCAGTCCGCTTGAAGATGGGTCTGTGCAGCATGGTTTTTATTTTTTCCTCCCTCCTCCATTCCCCCTGTCTCCTTCCCTCCCTCACTGTTGAACTATTTCAGTTTTCTAATTCTCTGCTGACAAATTCCAGGAATATCAGAAACATGCAGTATATATCTGTTAAAGGACATGTACCCCCCCTTTTATTTTATAAAGGAATATTATAGAGGGAAAATACTAGCTTTATCAGAAGCACATAGATCTATTTCTAAAATGCTTTACACTCTTTTTTTTTTTTTTCTTCTTCTTGAAGGTGAAGTGGCTACAAGTAATCTGTTCCATTTGAATGAACAGGCATGTAATTCAATTGGGTTTATCTTCTATTGCAAACTCTTTAGTTTTTGGTAATAGAGCTATCTGTTTTTAAAAATGTGTGCATACATATATTTGGAACTGTGTGTGTATATTAATGCAGTCTAGTCCGGAAAGCATTAGAATTGGTAAAAGCTTGGGTTTAATGCCTCCCGAGATTTGGGGAAGCCCCATCATTGCCAAACATAGTCTTGCTCCTACTGAGCTAATAATGGATGATTTGGGGTCTTAACACGTGCGATCATACATTTTTTTTTTTTTTTTTAGGTGAATGCCTTTGGGTGTTGAAGTGATCGGGCTTCCCAGCTGGCTGGCTATTTTTAGGCTATCTCTTTTTGGGAGACTGTGTTGAAAGGCAACTGGGTTCCAAATTGGGAGAAATAAAGTCCATAGAAGGTCTTTGTCAACCTGTTGGCAATAGGTCAAGAAGTTAAAGAGGAGAAACTTAACAGTGTCTTTGTCTTTGTGATTTCAGGAGTGATTACTGTTCTGAAGTGAGCATTGGAGGAGGATCCATTAGGCCATGTAAGTACTAAAGTAAGCAGATATTCATGTGGCCAATTACAGACCCAGGATAGTTGCTGTTGGGAGGGAGAAGTGCAAATAGTTGAGTCAGATGTTAGCATTTGGAACTGTGAGAATATAGACACCTAGTCCCAAAGGGCTGAGAGGTGGCTTTGCTAGTGCCGCTCTAATCCTGAGGGGACATCTCTCGCTATCTGGTTAAGGCCTGGTGGAGCTTAATCTTTTGGGATAATTGGGTAAGGATATTTTAGCTGGTTAGAATTAGTCAAGTGACTAGAGCAGAAGTCCATTGATTATTTCATTCAGTCATTATCAAACACAACTTGATTTAGCTTGATCATGGCTGGTTACCCTGACATGGAATGGCTGGCTCCTTCAGAGCCAGTCATCCCAAACCTGACACAGAGGGTCATGGTGGGAATAGAAGTCAAACTGATGAATCGGACAGAATGATTCCTAAAGACTGCACAGTCTCCGAACTGTCTATATCAAGGAGCCATTGCTCAAGAAGTACATGTACTAAGTCCTCAGTTATGAACATATTTTATGGGGGAGGAAATGTGCTAAGTACTTTATTATTTGAACTGTCTGAATAGCCCGTAGCAATTAAAATCAGTGTCCAGGCCACCCTTGAGAGTTACCTTGATGAATGAGATGTTCGACTTGGGAGCAGAGTATTTGGATTTCACAGTCTGATAGGATTTGGGTGTCAAGGTTATGGGGCTAACAAAATGAAATATTAAATATACTTAATTCCTGTTTCTTTGATGTATATGGGTCTTTGAACACACTTTGTCTCTAACAACATCACAGGGGAAAAAAATACCACAGTGGGGGGAAAAAACACCCCAGCAACTCACGAGCAAACGAATGTCTGATAGGAATAAAAGCCTTAATGTTAGAGCTAGAGAATCATATGACCATGTGACTTTTATCAGAGGCTTCTCTCTAGCTGTCACCTTCAGAGTTTGTCCTGCTGGGAGGAACCAGAGAAACAAGAAGTGTCTCTTTTGGAACCTCAAAGGGATTCTGAATTTCTGAAGATGTGGAATTTTGTCTAAGATTAAATAGGCACATTTAATCCATCTCCCCCACCCCACCACGTACACACATGACTTAATTGTAATGGGACTTCATTTCAGGGGCTGGACAACTGAACAGTGTATCTTCAGGAGTCTGTTTGGAAGTGAGTTTACTGCTGACAGAGCAGTTCGTTTACTGCCCTCTGAGACTTGGCAGGCATGGCAGCTGGGGGTAGTGGCTGATGTCCTGGAGACCTGGAGCTGGGTCTGAGGTCCCTGATCCCCAGCTGCTGGGGCTTATGCTGTGGGAACGATGAAGATCTTTCTGCCTATCCTGTGCTGTGATCCCCTCCTCCCACCATCCTGTGTCTGTGTCTGCCCTTACCTCCTGCTCTCAGCTGTGCACTCTGTGGGGTTGACAGCCTTCATGGAGCAGACAGACGTGTTGGCATTGTGTGGCACCCCTGGGCTTTGTCTATCTGCCACCAAATATGTTGTCACCTTCCCTTTTGAGCCTGCCATATCTAGCTGCCTTTGAAGGAGGCCTGTTGGCTCCTTTGGGAATGACTACTGAAAGAGCAGCTGTCTGTCAGCCTCCTCCAGAGCCGTCGAATTGGGCTATTGTCAACCTGTTGTTGGAAGGCTTCCCAACACAGCAGACTTGGCTGGCATTGACATTTGTAACTGGGAAGCCATATCACAGATGAGTTTGCATTTCTTTTTTTTCTTAAAATTTATTTATTCATTTATTTAGGGAAAGAGAGCAAGCATAATCAGGAGAGGGACAGAGAGACAGGGTGAGAGAGAGAGAATCCCAAGAGGCTCTGCAGTGTAAGTGCCGAGCCTGATGTGGGCTCAAACTCACTAACTGTGAAATCATGGCCTGAGCGGAAACCAAGAGACTGACGCTTAACCGACTGAGCCACCCAGGTGCCTGAGTTTGCATTTCTTATAATCCTTTTAAGTAGCCTTCAGAATAGGAAGCAGGTGACTTTCACACACTTTGGCACCTCCCAAGAGTGTGGACATTGTTGGGTCTTCCTGAAGGCAGAGAAACAGATCACCATTCTTCCCACACCATCTCCATTCTCACTTAGGAAGTAGTTGCCCTGGCTTTATCTTTATGTTGATGCGTAACCATATGAATCAGTTTAGGTCAGGCTCTTAAGAACAAATAACTGTTTAACTCTGATTACCACAGAGCCTGTGAAAAGAGAGGAAAATAGATGTCAGATAAGGCTTTTCAGGGGTACCTGGGTGGCGCAGTCGGTTAATCGTCTGACTTCAGCTCAGGTTATGTTCTCATGGTTGGTGAGTTCGAGTCCCACATCGGGCTCACTGCTGTCAGTGCAGAGCCCGCCTGGGATCCTGTGTCTGTTCCCGGCCCCCCCCCCCCCGGCCCCATCTCTGTCCCTGCCCTGCTCACATGTTCTCTTTCTCTCTCAAAAATAAGAAAACATTAAACAACAACAACAACAAACAAACTTAAAGGCTCTTCAGATGGGCCTTGTAGATCCCATACCTGTTTTTTTTAATGCCCCAATTTTTCAAAGAACCACCTTCTAACTTTCATTTCTTAAGACCTGACCTGAAGAGAAAGATGCAGTGTTTGTGGTAAAAATAAAAACCAGAGCCACACCAGGAGATCTTGTGAACACATACAGCCAAAGAAAGTGAAGAAGGTGTGAAGTGGAATCAGAATGCCTTTTACTTACTGTGGGTCTAGTAGACTGTAAATTCCTTGAGGGCTAGGATTGGCCTTAACTGTTCTTCTCAGCACTAGTGGCTGGCACAGCTCCTGGCCCATGGCAGCACAGCGAGCTGAAAGAATGAGTCTAAAGCGGGAAAGGTTTTTGGTAGAAAAAGGTGTGTGTTTTATTATTCCGGTAGTATAGACATTGAAATATGTTCATCAAATGAAGATTATGGGATTTCAAGTTAATGATGTTTTCCTGTTGGCGTCAAAGATGAGTAATCTTGGAAGGGGTGGGGGCTTAGATGGCAGGCCTGAGATGTGATTGAAATGAAACCCCTTCTCTGCCTGTGCTCAGATTTCTTTCTGCGGTTCTCAGGACATTAGTCATGTCTTAGGAAATGTCAGTGCCTGACCTTGGCTGTGTGCTGTGCAGCCAAGTCCAGTGTGTAGGTGGCTAGCCTGCCTGCAGTGGGGTAGGAAGAGACTCTTGAGCCAGCTTGATAGTGGCCACAGGCTTTGGGAAGACTGGTACCTGAGGAATATCTGTCACCATCCTGGCCCTTTGCCTGTGGTGCACATTGGCATCTCATTCCTCTCTCTCAGAGCCCAGCGAGTGCCCCAGAGACGGTAGGACTGCATGCCGGGTAGCCCCCGCCCAGTACTGATGGACGGGCATGGTGGATGAAACCCTGCTTCTCTCCCTGCCCGAGGGAAGGGACGGATGTGGCTGTGGGGGTAGAGGATGTGTCATCGCCAGGGCACATGTGTAAGGGTAGAGCAGTTGTCTTCATAAGACATGCCTGGCTTTGACTGGACCTAATCACAATTCTTGGTCCCTGGCAAGAGCTTTCGAAACAATGTCATGTATCTTTCTTTGATTTTACCTGAAAAAAAAAAAAAAATGTTTAAATATTTCAAGTATCCAGAGAAGTGCGGAGACTTAACTAAAACACTCAGGTACCCCCTCCACCCCTTCCTCACCGTATCTGGTGGCTCCCTTTCTGATCTCCTGATGACACATGTCTTAACTGTGAAAGGTGCTTCTGTTAAAATTACCATACTTCTGTCCTTGGACACTAAAAAAAAAATTTTTTTTTAACGTTTACTTATTTTTGAGAGGGTGAGAGCGTGAGCAGAAGAGGGACAGAAAAAGAGACACAGAAACCAAAGCAGGCTCCAGGCTATGAGCTGTCACCACAGAGCTTGATGCAGAGCTCGAACTCATCAGCAGTGAGATCATGACCCGAGCTAAAGTCGGACGCTTAACCAACTGAGCCACCCGGGTACCCCAAGTCCCTGGACATTTTTAAAAATGGGGTCTGCCTGGAACCTAGACCTGTAGCAACCCCCAGCATACCCACACTCTGAGGATGGTTGGTGCTATCTGGATCTACCCTTACCTGTGGTTTCCTTTGTTCATTCTTTCCTTATGTCCTTGCTATCAATTTGCTTTTCTCTCCGTTCAGTTTCAAGAAGATGTGTATGTGTTTAAATCCCTCTCCAGCTAGTTCAGGACTTCCTTGTTTTTTGTTTTTTTTTTTCGTTTTTTTTTTTTGAAAGTTTGTTTTTTGAGAGAGACAGTGTGAGTAGGGGAGGGGCGGAAAGAGAGAGGGAGGCACAGAATCCGAAGCAGGCTCCAGGTTCCAAGCTCTCAGCACAGAGCCCAACGCAGGGCTCAAACCCATGAACTGTGAGATCATGACCTGAGCTGAAGTCAGATGCTTAACCGACTGAGCCACCCAGGTGCCCCTAGTTTAGCACTCCCTTGTAATGGGCAATTCAGTTTGCTGCTTGGCACAGCTAATGCTGTCTCCACGTCCTATGGCCTTGCAATGATGAAGGCTGTTCACTTCATCATACCTGGTGCCACGCACAGAGACGACTCACTCTGTTGAGAGCCTCTTATGTCTCCCAAAGCCAGTATGTAATTTCCCATGTATGTCAGCCTCCCTGGAGGAGAGAGGTGATGGCCATTTTATTTTGTCCCTTCAGGCTTGGAGTGATGGATAGACAGCATCTGTGGGGCAGGCTGAGGCTCTCCCTCAGGTTAATTAACATGGGTAAGGCACATGGACAGGTTTCTAGTCATTTATTCTCTTACCGTGACCATTTTCTGGGACCAGAGTCCTGTGTTATTTTAGCTGTGTTGATTGATCATTCACTTAACTCTTCATTTTGATCAGAGCCTCCTGATAGCTTACAGGAATCAGTGCCCACAGCTCGTGTATCAAAAAGGCTTCTGGGAAGTTTGCCGCCACTTATCTAATGAGATACCATCTTGA